ACAGTTGCATTTTGTTTTGTTTTGTTTTGTTTTTTATCCAATCTGCAAGTATGCGTCTTTTACTTAGGGAGTTGAGATAATTGATATTGAGAGTTTTTTTTTTAAGGTGTTTATTAAATCTCATCATTGCATTGTTTTTCTTGTGCTGATTTTTTTTTTTTTTTTTTTTTTTTTTCTTTTGTGTAACTTCTCTCCCAGTTACATGTATTCTTTCTTTTGGATTCTTTGGTGCTGGTGATCTTTTCTCTTCCTACAATTCCCTTGAATATTTTCTACCATGCTAGTTTAATGAGCATGTATTTCTTTAGGACTTCTTTCTTCTGGAAAGTCTTTATTTCTCTCTCAATAGTGAAGGTTAATTTTGCAGGACATAAAAATCTTGGTGCACAATTGTTTTCTTTTGGAGCTTTCAAAACTCTTTTGCAAGCTCTCCTGGCCTTAGAGTTTTATGTTGAGAAATCTGCACTTATTCTGATGTGTATAGATTTCTCTTGCTATTTTTCTCTAACACCTTGTAATGTTCTGTCCTTTTGTTGAATTTCTAGAATTTTGGTTATGTTGTATCACTGACAAGTTCCTTTCTGGTCATGGCTTTTTGGTCATGCCTCTTGTATTTCAATATTGAATTGTTTCCCTAAATTTGAAAAACTTCCTGCTATGACTTCAATGTATAAAATTTTTATATCTTTGAGTCACCTTCTAAATTTCCCTTTATTTCTATAATTCTAAGATTGCTTTTTTTAGTTATCTAGCAACTGTCATATCCAGCTTGCACAGTACTTTGCCATTTTCAAGGTATCATTGAGTTTACGATCTACTATACCCACCTTGTCTTCTATTTCTGACACTGTCCTACATTGGTCAAGTTTGCTACCCACACTTTCCCTTGAATTTTTCATATCATGTTTTACTGCTCACCTCCCTTCGTACTTTCTAATTCTTTACCAGAGGGGTCATTCATGTCTTGTATTGTCCAGATTAACTCAGTTGGTTTACTGTTTATTTCTTCTTCAAGCTCATTGAATGTTTCACTGGTAAAATATTGGCAAAATATTTCATTAAAGCCTCTTTGAACTTATTGAACATCTGATGCATTTGCTTATATGTTTCTTCTTTTGTCTTGATGAACATTTTGACCATTTGGTTTTTGAATTCTTTGCCTATAATTTCCTCTACTTCACTGTCCATGAGGAGATCCACTTTTGAGGAATTAGCGGGTTTTGGAGGCATCTTTTTGCCTTGATTTACCATGCTTCTGTGGTTTTTGTGCTGTGGGTTGAAGATCATTAGGGTAGAGAAATTCTGTAATTACTGTGGAGATTGATCTCTCTAGATTCCGCTTACCTGTGATGAATCCTTGGGTTTTGGTTGTCTTTTAATTTTTTTAATTTTTATTTGTATATGTTTGTAGCGTGCAGAGATCACATTCCTTGTGGAAAGTTGGTGCTTGTACATATCTTACCACTTCTTTCAGCTCCTTCTCCTTCCCCTTCCTTCTCCTTCTATCTCTTGATCCCCTCCCAATTTGAGAAGATCTATCTCCCTACCTCCTATTATCTATCTTTTATTTTGCTCTTTATTTATATTTTGGTTTTCTCATATAAGAGAAACCAGGTGATATTTGAGCCTGCCTGTCTCATTTATTTCACTTTCACTTAACATTATGGTCTTGAGGTGCATCCATTTTCCTACCTAAGTTTTATCTTTTTATGACGGAGTAGTACTCCGTTGTGTATAAATACCATATTTTCTTGATCCATTCGTCTATTGATGGACATATAGGCTGTTTCCAAGATTTAGCTATTATGAATCATGCTGCTACAAACATGACTATACATGTATTACTGTAAGATGATGTCTCTAGCTTTATCAGGAAGAAGATCCCTAGAAGGAGAATAATTGGGCCAAATAGATTTTTTACTTTTAGTTTTTTATGGAATCACCATACTTATTTACATAATGGCTGTACATTCCCACTAACAATGGAGAAGGGTTCCTTTTTCCTCATGACCTCGACAACATTTGTTATTATTTGATTTCATGACCTTAGTCATTCTTTTTGGAGTGAGATGGAATCTCAGTGTTGTTTTAACTTGCATTTCTCTAATGGTCAGAGATGTTGAACATTTTTTTCATGTATTTATTGACCATTTGTATTTCTTCAGAAAAGTGTCTGTTCCTTTCGCTTACCCATATTTTGATTGGATCTTTTATTTTTAGACATCCAACTATTTTTAATTCTCCATATACTCTCAATATTAGTCCTTTGTCCAAGGAATAATAGCTGGCAAAGTTTTTCCCCATTGTGTAGGTTGTTTTTTCACAATTCTGCAAAGAGAGAGAGAGAGAAAGAGAGACATTGGCTCAGTCGTGATCATTTTATGTTTGGCATCAGATACTACTTCTATTACAAGACATTACTTGTTTACCTACTTGAAATTTACTAGTAACGTTTGCTCATCTTGCATAATGTTCACAAAACAAGTTACAATCCACAGTTTTACTGTATTTCCTTATGAAAGTCATTTTATCAAGGACAACATAAACTAAAAATGAAGACATGAAAAATGATATTCCATGCAATTAGCAACCAAAATAGACTCTCAGTTAAAATCTGTCATAAAAGACAAAAAAGCCTCTGTGTAAAAGAGTGCAAATCACCAAGAGTACACAATAATGAATACATATGCACTTAACATTGGAGGCCCTAAATATATAAAATGAGTGTTAACAAAGCTCATTCTGTTTGCCAGTATCTCGTTGAGAATTTTTGCATCTGTGATCATTAAAAAGATTGGCCTATAGTTCTCTTTTTTTTCTACTTTTGGAGTCAGAATAATGCTTGCTTCCAGGAATGACTTTGGGAGTACTGCTTCCCTTTCAATTTCATTAAAGAGTTTGAGGCATATTACCCTTAGGTCTTCTCTAAAGTTCTTGTAGAATTCAACAGTGAATCTTTCAGGACCGGGGCTTTTCTTAGTTGGTAATTTTTTTATTACTTCTTCAGTTTCACTGACTGATATTGGTTTACTTAAGATTTTTACACCTTCTTGATTCAGCTTTGGTAGTTCATGTGTATTGAGGAATTTATCCATTTCCTCTGAATTTCCCATTTTATTAGAATACAGGTTCTTGAAGTGGTTAGTGATAATCTGGATTTCAGCAGAATCTGTTTTGTGCATGGATCTGGGTCTTTACTTACTTTGGTAAGGAAAGCTAAGGGTTCGTCTCTTTTGTTTAATCTTTCAGAGAACCAACTCTTTGATCCATTGATTCTTTGTTGTTGTTGTTTTTCTCGATTTTATTAATTTCTGCCCTGATGTCTTTCTTGATTCCCAGAGCTCTACCTTTTCTCTTCTCTAGTTGTTGTTTTCCAAATGCCTCAATTCCAAATCCCGAAGAGGCTGTATTTGGATGTTGACCTGTACTTCATCATTTTTAATCTTAAGATAGTAAATTTTTTACAAAACATGCTCAGGCTCAATAATGAAGAAATGGACACTGAAGGAGGAAACGGTTCTACCTGTGAAATTAACAATAGAAATAAAAAATTGACACTAAACCTAATTCTAGCAAGGACATAATATAAAAATATTATAGAGAGAGTAATCCAAGTATTAACACTGATTGTGTTATGGTAGTGGACTTATGGCTCATAATTTTCAGTGTTTTACCTTTAAAATATATTTCATTTTGTGAACACAAATGCTCAATTACATACACACAACCACACGGCCTATAGCTGGTTCACAGGGAATTCCACTTCGGGTTACAGCAGGGCAAGGATCTCCTGTTAGCCCTCATGTCACACAAAGGCCATGTGCGTGCAGGGCAGTACAGTAGTTCAAAGAACTATGGGGACTTTCATGGTCCAAAAGCTTTTACAATCTCAAAACAAAAAATGCACTTTGGTGTAACTGCGAGAGAATAACTCTGAATTATTTCTGTGACTCGTGGCCTCTCATCATTTTATGGTCAGTCGTACACTTATTGGTTTTTACAGTATCTGTCAAAACATTAAGAAAGTAGGATGATTATCATATGTCACGTATTACCCAATAGTAATAATAATAGTTCAGGAAGTAATACAGAGATTATAAATTCAAGCTATATTGTTTTTAAAAGACCCAGCCCTGAGTGAGAAGTTTGGTGCAGGGATATTGGTGGGTTGAGTGCAAGGTAGAGGATAGAATGTTTCACAGGGCTTGTGTTTCTGGTCATTTGTAGAAATTCATTTTTAGTTAATCCAACTATTCAGAAAGAGTCTTTTAGCCAAAAAGAGAACACAGACTCAATACATCCATATGTAAAGACAAATCGATTGTGTATTCTGTGATTGAAAAAAAAAAAAAACCTTTCATGAAAATCAATTGATGAAGACTTACTTCTTTAATTTTGAAAACCTGAATTAGCCAAGTCCGGAGTAATCTGTAAATAACAAAGTACCCTGAAATAAGAAAGTGACTGAAACTAATGTACATAGATCAACACAGGATCAGAAGAATGTAGTAAAACCAAAATAAAGTCAAAGCAAATACGAAAGGACTAGCTAAATCTAAAAGAAGAAAATTCTCACTTGGTTAGTATCTAACCAGTTTAGCTCATAGTAATCACTAAATACTGCAATATATTTAAAGTAACTAGAACACCTTCTACCATATGGTAATTCCAAGTAGCCCTGGCTACTAAAGCAAGGAAATAGTTACATCAAATAACTATCCTTGTGTGCCAGGGTAACTCCAAATCTGCCTTGGACTACACAAGACATCTTTATTCTCTGGGGAGTTTTAAGGGTTGTTTTTTGTTTTGTTTTATTTCGCTTGACACTGCAAATGATAATCTCATTTTTAAAAGCCTAAAATTTGCAATTAAAATCAAAGATGCCTTCTTTTCTCCTAGTTTAAAAACACACCATTTCAGCACTTACACTTTTCCTACCAAGCTTGCTCTGTTAAGGTTTTATAGTGACAAATGAGAAGATACTTTCATACAAATGAAATATACTTTCATCTTTGTTTTGCCAGGGAGATTCTTAAATTCCTCATCCATATGCACACACAGCACTGAGGTTCGATATAGGCTTTATCACTGATGACATTTTTACACATATAAGAGCACTTGTGGTTCTTCTTATACTATTTTCCTGTAGCCCAGACTGTCTCTTTGCCCTTACCTATAGGTTCAACTGTATTTGTGTTCAACCATAAATAGGAAGCATTATTTCTCATTTATTTAAATTTATCTCATTCCTTAAGAAAGATTTCAGATAGATAACAAGACATTGAGGGAAAATCAACATAAGCTCTAAGACTTCTCATATCCTGCTCCCAGCAAATGATAGGCTATTTATGCCATCAGTCACTGGGTTCTGGCCCAGCCAACTGGTTCTCTCTGCAGAGTGCACACACTGCCCAGAACCCACTGCCCAGTGCTATCTCACTGGCCCCAAAGACCCTTCATCCCAGCCCGCAGATCCTAGATGACTCAATTTTCTACATCACAGTTTTTTTAACGAACCTTTGACTCTCCCTTCTATAAATCCTCTTGGGGAAAAATAAAGGAAAAAGACAATAAACAGATATGGTTAACATTCTCAAGAAAGTCATACCAAACTCCATGATCAACTTTCATTCAGAAAGAAAAATTTCACACCATTGAATTCATGCAAGGTATAATGCTTATAACTTTCTTGCAAGAAATATTTATGAAAAAGCTTCCCAGCTTTCTGTTTAATGTTACAACCAAAGAACCAAGCAGAACTTGTTCATTAAGTCTCACAATGAAGTAAGGGATACTATCACTGTCAATCAGAAATGCCCAGCGTGTTTGGTTTTTCTGGCAGAGTAGATTATTCATATTTTACCATCTTATGAATGGTAAGACCCTAAAACATAGATCAATTTTTCTAATATATATCTACTTCCTCAGCTTCCCAAAATAATACTGACCAATTTTTTATGCATTTTTATTATGATAAAATATATATAACATAAAATTTGCACTTTTACTACTTTTAAGTGTGCAGTTCATTGGCATTAAGTGTATTCACAAGGATGTGTAACCGTCCTCACTCCTTTCCAAAATGCATCCTCCCCCCAAATCAGAACTCTGTGTTCCTTAAGCAGAATCTCCGCATTTCTTTCTTGCCAGTCCTTGGTGAGCTCTATTCTCCTTTCGGTCTCTATGGGTTTTCCCATTCTGTTATTTCACATAAATGAAACCATGCAATATTGCTCTATGTCTTACTTGTTACATTTAGCATGTTTTCAAGCTTCATCTATATTTTAGCTGCATGAGAACCTTATTTTCTAAGGCTCGATAATATTCAGATGGATATGCCATATTTTGCTTACCTATTGGTCTATTAATGGACATTTGAATTGTATACCTTTGGCTGTTTTGAATACTGCTGCTAGAAGCTTTCAAAAAAGTTCTGTTGAGTATCAAATTGCAGTTCTTTCAGATAAAAACGGACTAATGTGGAGTGCTGGATCAGATGGTAGTCCTGAGTTTAGTTCTTTGAGAAACTTTCAAGCTTCAGACTGTTTTCCATAGCAAATGCATCACTTTATATTCCCGCCAGAAATTTGCAAGCCTTCTACTTTCTCCACATCCTTCCCTACATGGTATTTTCTGGTGTGTGTATGTTACAGGCGTCCTACTAGGTGTGAAGCAGTATCTCATTATGGTCTTTATGTTCACTTCTCTAGTGGCTAATGATGTCGAGCATCTTTTTATGTCTTATTGATCACTCATATAACCTCTTTGGAGATCTGTCCACTTAAATTTCCTTGCCTGTTTTTAATCAGGTTGTTTGTCTTTTTTGTTGTTGACTTGTAAGAGTTCTTTATATGTTCCGGGTATTAAAATGTTATCAGATATATTATTGGAAGATCTCCCATGCCAGAAGTTATTTTTTTGACTTTCTTGGTAATGTTCTTGTAGTCAGAAAAGTGTTCAATTTTTGTGAAATCCAATTTATCTATTCTCCTCCCTCTCCTTCCCTCTCCCTCTCCCTCTCTCTCTGTCTCTCTCTCTGTCTCTCTCCCTGTCTCTCTGTCTCTCTCCTCTTTGCTCGTGCATTTTGTTTCATATTTAAGTATCCATTACAAGTCTAAGGTTACGAAAATTAGCCCTATGTTTCCTTTTAGGAGTTTTAGAGTTTTTGTTGTTTTGTTGCTTTTGTTGTTGTTTTGGGCTTTTTTGTTTTTGTTTTTGTCTTTTTGAGACAGGGTCTCACTATGCAGTTCAGGCTGACCTTGAGCTCACTTTGTAGCCAAGGCTGACCTCAAACTCACAGTGATCCTCCTGTCTCAGCCTCAAGATTG